GCACATCTTCTACTCCAGGGGCATCTTATGAGGACCAAGCAACAACTTAACTTCCAGTCAATACCTGTTTCCAAAACGAGAAAGGAATATTTAGAGGAATTTTGAAAAAAAGAAGAGAAGATCAAGAGTCATCAAAAGATAAATCAGCAAGTTTTGATTTTCAAAATATTTCCAAACACAATCAAGGTGAACATGGAAACTAATCGAGGGCAGCAAAGTAAAAGGGTCATAGCCATCACTTTCTTTCCAAAACCGGGCAAACATGCTTCAGACAGATTCGAACCAGAAAAGGAAATATTCTTTATCATGTTTTCATTCTTGGCAACTATAAGAAGAAGGGGAATTGAGTTGAAAAGGAGAGGACCACAAATGTAAACCCTATCGTCCAGATAAACAGATTCTCAGCAACTCATAAACCACAAGATCCCAAATCCACACCTTAAGAATTTCTAAAGAAAAATAAGAACACTTACCCTTTAGCGGTTTCCTCTTCTGGGAGTTTCGTCGCCGTCAGGATCTTCAAAACTTCCGTCGGAATTCACCTTTGTCGTCGCCGGAGAACCTCGTCACTGCGAACCACTCCCTCGTCGATCCAACCGCGTGCATCGCCGGAATACCGCCCTCAACCGCAACCGAGAAACCTGCACATAAACCGTTTTGAATCGTGAGACTATTTTTTTTGTTTCACTAACATTTTCCTGTTGTTGATTTGTAGGATGCAGAGGAAGCCCCAACGAGAAGTCGAAAGAGAGAAACGTTAAGGAAGAGGGACGAACGGGAGAGAAAGATGAGAGGAAATCGGCGGAGAGAAAGAGGAGGATTGGGGATTTCTGAGGGGGGGGGGGGTCTTAGGGTTTACTGTTTTTTTAATTTTGTTTTGTAATATAATCACATGCCCGCACCCACACACGGTTACCATGCACCATCACAATCACAACCACCTGATCCACATCGCGCGACCCGTAGCGCAACCCCCTGATGCGCTCTCACCCAGCGCGCCGCACGTAATCATGCGCCATCCAATTAACCCCTTTAATCTGATTTAATTTAACCTAATCATCACCTTTTTTTTTAATTTCTCTAATTGTTTAAAAAAGTGAACTAAACCTTTTATTAACTACTTAATTAGTCAATTAATAATTGAATCATCTACCTTAATCAGCCGCTTTTGTTTTTATAAATTAAACTGTATTATATAACTAAGTCGTTTTCTTTTTTATGAAAATTAACTTATATATTCATTAAGAATTGTATTTCATTTTCTCCAACAGATTAATTGGGTGTCATCAACATTTATTTACCTAATTATAACCTAACCTAAGATAATCTATTTAATACGATCTATTCAATAAAAACTAAAAAAACTATTTTTATAATAAAAAAAACTCATTTCATAATAATCTATTTTATCAATAATAACAACTTTTTTTTATAATAACTAAAAATAAAAAAACTAATTAATTTAAATGATTTGTGATAACAACTTAGCTTTTTTTCTATTCAATAGAAAATCTATCCCTTAAAAATATATTAACTTTATTTAACCTCCTTAATAAAAGAATAATAACAACCCTTTTTATAGTATAAAAACTTGTTTCATAATTTTAAATGACTAATAAACTATTCATGTCTAAGAAAGTTTCATTTAATGAATCATTTATATTTTAAGTCAAAATCTAATTAATCTATAACCCTTTTAAATTCATTAAAAATAATATAATTCACCTAATATAATTTACTTTCACCAACAATATTTTTTTTCCATAAAATTAACCTCACCCTAATTAATCTTATGATATAACTTTTTATAGAAATCCACCTTAAGATTAATTCTATCTAATTTAGTCATTTATAATTTAATCTAATTTCGCTAATAAATCTAAGGCAATTTCTCTCCAAATCAATCTCATCAAATTAATTTAACTTCTCCCATAAAATCAACCTCGTCTAAAATCAACCAACATCGTAAAATTTAATCAATCGTGCACGCTTCACTTTCATTCACATTATTCATAATTCACACTTGTACACTTCAGCGCTTTCATGCGTGTGCATGCCTTTATTTATCTGCCTCTATTTTACCCGCAATTTACATTTATCACATTTACTTTATCGCATTGCATTCCGTCCAAAGGAAGAACTTGCATGTAACGTAAAACTTGCGCGTATGCATCCCATTTGCATCATTTCCCTCGATCCTTGATCCCATTCAAGTTGATCTCTTAAGTTTAGATCCTACCCCATAGGAAAGACCTTTCTTTTACTCTCTTACAACATAGAAACAAACAATTCAACTTAATCAAACTTATTCAAACACATTAGAGAACAAGATGTTAATTATCTTAAGTGGAATAAAACTCCCACCCCCATAACAATTCAATCAATTCGTAGCGACTTTGCCTTAAGAGAGATAGTGGCATACTTGTCGATTAAATTCCGAGTGCTTGAGCCCTTCTCTTAAGACGATGCAAAGATTATTTTCCTACAAAGTTGTGGTGGTTAAATCAAGTAATCTCCCTTAAAATGATAACTCATATTTTCTCCTAAAATCAATCAATCAACTACCCTAAACCCGTAGGAACTTTGACTACAGCCAAAGAACTCCTCAAACCCTTTAGGGGAACTACAGATACTCTGATTCCACTCCCATAAGGATATGTAGGCATAAGATGCGATATCTTATCGAGTATACTTAGAAATAAACCCCTAGGTCTTTTAACCATTAAGCAGATAATCCTTAGCAAATAAACAAACATAAAACAAGAGGTTCCTGTAGAGTACTACAGAAACTTAGGATGCTAGCACCTTCCCTAAGTTTAACCAACCCCCGAACCTATAACTCTCTAGGTTGCATTTGCATTGCATTGTGGGTATTCCGATCTTTATCCCTTCCTTTGGGCAAATCAAAGTTCGGTTGCAAAATGAATTAAAGATTCAAACTTAATGGGTGACTGTAAGGGATCATCCCTGGACAGCGGAGTGCGGGGATCATCCTCGTCACTTCTGATGGGCTACTACGAGGGGGACGGGTCGTACCAAGGGCTTCTACGACGCGGAGGGCTCCTCAGACGACTCTTCGGCTTTCCAGCATGTTTGTCGACTCTGTTTTTCTTGGGAGCTAGGGAACGTCGTTCCTTCTAGGGAGGAGAACGATTACGCTTCTGGGTGGCCATTAGTTGTGGTCTTTCCAGTCGTAGGCGGTGCCCAACTTGTCTATGGGAGGGGCTCTAAGACACCTCATGTTGCGGCCTCCGCAGTGGAGTTGAAGGACGTGTTTCTCGTCGTCGCGGGGACGGGCCGGAGAAACTGGACAGCAACGTCTCTGCAAGGGAGAACGTGATTGTCGGTCTTTCTCCAACATTCTGATTTGTTTGTTCTATTGGAAAATCACCAGGTTTGTCTGATTGATTGTCGCGAATAGGGTCACCACGGTTGGGTTGGTGTTGGTGGGCACATGAATTGGTTGAAAGACAATGGGGCTATCGAAGCGTCGGGCGACGTTGTAGGTCACATCGTTAGGAGAGGGTGAGGCAGTGTGCCCGTCCTGGCATCACCTTCCTTAACGTGAGCGGTCAAGTTAGGATTGTGGTCGTCGCAGTTGGTGAATAGGGTGAAGGCGGTTTCATGGATATTGTCGTCATTGTGTGGGCTGACCATGATCAACGGAGGTTGAAAACTTCTTTGGTTCTTGAGTTTCTATGGGAGAAAGAACAGGGAAGCAAGGATTCCCACAGACGGCGCCACTGATCATATCAGATCAGAAAGAGATCAGCAGCCAGTAACACGTCGTGAGGTCTTGTGTTCACCAGTGATGGAGAAGATGAGGGGGTGTACCTGCAAGTACTCCGATGTCAAAGTACGAGACGGAGTAATGAGAGTAAGTACATAAAAGGTCTTAAAGAATAGAATACCTGGTCCTCTAGTGAAAAAGGTATTTATAATGTGCCCCCAGCGCTGGGCCAACAGTTACTCTGCATTGGGTTGGATCGCAAGACCCAGCACGAGTAACTGTCAAGGTTTACGTGGTGTAGGGAAGACCAGCACGTGGTCTTCGCCTTGGGTCAACTGTCCTGTAATCTTCGAAGGGTGGGTGACATGTTCTCTAGGATGCGAGTAGTTGTTGATGATGTGTTCCCGCGTGGGGACACGTGGAATATGTGGAGGAGACATGTGGGAGCTCCCCGTGTGCAACGATGGATTGAACCTTCATTGGACCCTCTCCGACGAATAGCTAGGTTGGACCGTGTCCGACGGTGGACTAGCCTTTGGCTCAGTCCAAAACACTATTTTTATTATTTTATTTATGTTGGTTAAATATTTATCTTTATTATTTTGTAATTTTGATCTTTCATATATTATATCTAAATATATAACATCAAACTTATTATTTTTAATTTTTTATAATATTTAATATAACATATTTTTAATTTAAATATTAAAAAATCAACATAAATTAAAATAATCTAATAAAATTAGAGATTAATTACTGACAGTTTAAAAAATTTTAAATTTTAAATTTATAATTATATCTATTAGTATTACTTTATTAATGACTATATCTATTAGTATTACTTTATTAATGATTAAAATAAAGGTTAAAAATTATAATGTCGGTGGACTTGAATTAAATCCATAAAATTTTGTTAATTTATCATCTAAAATCAAAGCAAATCAGAAGTAAATTTATTTTTGTGGTCAACACAATACAATTCAATAAAGAATAGAAACGAGGTAAAAAACTAATATTAAAAAACCATAAAGCCGTATAATATACGGTGTTGTTGGTGTGTTTGTTTGGCATTTTTCGTATAAAAGTTCAAAACTTGTTACTAGTTATTTCTCTCATAGCGTCAGCAAGGAAATAAAGTGGAAGTGACGTTAAATATAAATAGCGGTTTATAGATAACATAACATGATATCATAAAAAATTATCAAAGCAAAAGCAACCATTTCAAGATAACAAAAAGTAGTTGAAGAACCGCCGCGGTCGTGGGAGGAGAATGTTGCTGCCGAGAGTAGCTGCAGCGGCGTTGCTGATGATAATATTGACCGGAACTTTGATCGGAGCAGAAGGAAAGCCTCGTCGGATTGTTGTCGATACAGATGTTGATACTGATGATTTATTTGCTATGCTTTATCTTTTGAAAGTCAATACTTCACAGTTTCAATTCGAGGTATGTATATGAAATCTGAATAGTCAAATCTTACCTACTTTTTCTCTTTTCATTTTGCTATTCTTTGACTAACATGTAAACGTTATTATTACTGGTCCATTTTATTTAATGTCATTTTCTTTTAATTTTGTACTTATTTTTTATACGTCGTTTTCAAAGATTTTAGATCTTACTCATTTATCTGTGAATAAATTATCTATTTACATGTGTTAAAAATATCTATAAAAAAAATAGATAATAATACTTCAAAATATTATTGTAATCACTAGTACTATAAAAAATTTAATTAAAATGTATAGATAGTGTAAAAAAATTTTATACTGTGAATTAATTATAGACGTTAAATGTAAAAAAAATTTAATTTTTATTTGAATAACTTGTAAAATAATGCAAATGGATGATAATAATAAATTGATAGTATAAAATTTTTTATATTGTCATAATAATTAATTTCTACTATAAATATAAGTAGGATATATTTATTTTAAAATAATATAAATAATATTAATTAAATAATATAACTTAAATAAAATAATTATATTGTGTTGAAAATTGAAAAGTGGATGAATGATATTAATTCAAAAGTATTTAAATACAAAATCTTAACTTTTTTGAGTTTTTTAAACTAGTAAATAATTAAAGAGGTTTCTAGAATAGAATGATTTAAAAATATTAAAAATAATATATAGATAATATTTTATTAAAAATTGAAAAGGTAGATGAATGATACCATTTAAAAGTATTTTATAAATTGGTGATTTTTTAAATAAAAAAAAAAAAGTGATGCACTGTAAATTTTTTATATTATCAATTGATGACCATCCTACCAAATTATATTGAAAATTTTAAATTAATTATATAATAAATAAGAAAAATATATATTTCAACAATTAAATCCTTTAAATAATTTGTTTAAATTATAGAACAATCTTAATTTTTTTTAATTTGTAAATAGTTAAAGAGGTTTTTTTAAGTTTAAACGGTTTGAATAAGATAGAAAGATATTTTTATTTATTTAAGATTTTGGTTTGAACTTTGACAGAACTGTTAAAATTTTCTTAAGAAAGTATTGTGATCTTCTTTGGTAATTTTGGTTAAATAAATAAAACTAATGATGATGTTAAAAGAAAAGTTTAGAATCAAATCTTTGAACTTTAAAATAAGTTTGATACTCTCCGTATTTGGAGGAAATCATGATGGATATTATTAAATTAAGGGATGATATTGTTTCGATTAAACTATTTTGTCTTTTTATTAATGTTAATTTTGTACTATAGTAAGGACACATGTTTTGCACATGGTGCGGTCTTTGTGTTTGTCTAGTGTTTTTTCTAACAAATTTAATGATTGAATTGCACTAAAATAAAGAAGAACAAATGAGATGTTTTGAATTTGAATCTTTGTTATAGATCAATATTTCTATACAACATCAACTGAGCTGTCTCACTGAATTGTTTGTCTTTCATATTATTTACTTACAATAGTTGATAAATTTAAAAAGTAAAAAAAAATTAATTATTATGTAGTATAAAATTTTTATATTATTAATTTATCATCTTTGTTTATATTATTTTATAAATAATTGAAACAAAATTTAAATTTTTTCAAATTTCAATTAATTGACGGTATAAAATTCTTTTATTCGGTCTATTAATTTCAATTAAATTCTAATAAAAAGTTTTAAGACTTTTTTGTTTTAGTTTTAAAAAAATGAATATTTTTTTTTATATTTTCAAAAATAAATTTTATAAAATTGTTTTTCAAAATATTAAATTTTTATATATTTATTTTTTCTAAATTGTAAAACTAATTTTGATATTATAGAACATAAACATACATCATTTAAGATCAAAACATAATTAAAATTATAATTTTTTAAAAAAATTATATCTCAAAAATGATTTTCATGAAAAACTATTTAAAATAACTTTAAAATTAAGTGATTTTTAAAAATTTTAATATCTAAATTTTTTTAATAAAATAATTAAATATTTAAAATAATATTTTAAAATAACTATTTAAATTAAATTTTTATGAAAAGGTTTTTTATACAAATTTTTTCACATTACGCTGTAAAAATCATTTTAAAAAAATGAAAACAAATTACACTTAAATGTAATTTTTGGTTGCTTGCACCACCGGTGCCCTTCGTTTTAATACAACTGTTTTGACTTTTTCAAAAGAGAAGCAATCAATGTTTTCAATTGAACTGTAGAACTTTAAAAAATCAATGTTTTCAATTAAGCATATACCACTTGGTTACGGTTTCCTTTCTTCCATTTTTCTTGTACAACAACTCAGTTCGTATCCAAATAATTGACTCAAAACACAAAATTATATTTTTAAAAAAGAAAATTATTTGATCTGTTGATTTATTAATTTTTATTTAAAATAAGAAGTAAAAATATATTAAATTAAAATTGTGTAAAAAGTACTATTGATTAAAAAAGTAAATTTTAAAATTAAATTAAAATTGTGAAAAGATCATGCATTTCGAGAAAAAATATTTTTACACCTCAATAACTATTTATAAAAGAGCATTTTTTGTTTAAATTATTCGTAACAAGTTCAAAAATTCAAAGGCATATTACTCTATCCAAAATGACTGACTTAATTGACATTTATATTAAAAGAAGTATAAATAAAAGATAAGAAAAAATATTTTTGTTAAAGTATAATGATTATATATTGTTATATTCACTTTTGTTGTTATAATACGTAATTCTTTAGTTGAATGAAAAAATTGACGTTGAACACATTATTCATAAATTCAATGTCTTAAAGTTTTGAGTTAATATCTAATGTCCAACTCATTTAAAGTGTTAAAAATTTAATGTGATGGTCCTCAAACCTCTTGATGATCTAACAATAGTTTGAGTTTGACAAAAAATAGTGGAGTTAAATGTTAATAACAAATTTTTGTTGTGTTTTATATTAATTTAGTGGAAATTGTGTATTAATGCAGGCAGTGACCATTAGTGCAAATAGCTGGACTAGTGGTGGCCATGCTGTGAATCAAGTTTATGACTTGCTTTACATGATGGGAAGAGATGATGTTGCTGTTGGTGTAGGAGGTGAGGGTGGCATACTCCCAAATGGAACCATACTCCCAAATGTTGGTGGATACCTTCCAATTATTGATCAGGTCATAATTTAATCACCAATAAATTTTATTTTGATTTATAAATATTAACACTTTATAGTGTTTGAACCCTGAAACTCCAACTATCAAATATCCTAACATGCCATTTGATTGAATTGAATCAGGGAATAACAACATCAGGAAGTTGCAGATACAGGCAAGCCATTCCAGTCGGACTTGGAGGACGGTTAGATATCGATTCAAATTACGGTATCAGGAAAGCTTTCCTACCGCAGGTGTATAATTAATATCCTATAACCTTTTTTTTTTTACTGAATTTGATCCTCTCATAATGCTGTTCAAGTGTATATATCCTTGTTACTAATTTGATCATCATGATATTAGGGAGAAAGGGAATATACACCATTAGAGCAACCAACTGCTCAACAAGTGTTGATTGAAAAAATATCTGCAGGTCCAACCACTCTTCTTATCATGGGAGCTCATACAAATATTGGAATTTTCCTAATGAATAATCCACACTTGAAGAAAAATGTGGAACATATTTATATAATGGGTGGAGGTGTAAGGTCAAGTAATCCAACTGGTTGTTGCCCTAAGAATGCTTCGTCTTCATGCGTGCCTCGACAGTGTGGTGATCATGGAAATATGTTTACAGATTATAATACTAACTCTTACGCAGAATTCAATATCTTTGGAGATCCTTTTGCAGCTTACCAGGTAATAATTTCGAGTCTGAGGCTTTGAGAGGAGTACGCTCTCAGGACCCAAGCCTTAACCACTAGACCAACCCCTGAGGGTTAATAGTTAATACAATACACATTCTTTGTTTGCTTATGACAAGACGTATATTTTGTTTTATATAGGTGATTCATTCTGGAATTCCTATCACTCTTGTTCCTCTTGATGCATCAAACACAATCCCAATCACTGAACAATTCTTTGATACATTTGAAAAGAGTCAAGACACGTATGAGGCACAATACTGTTTCAAATCCTTGAAAATATCTCGTGATACTTGGTTCGACGACCAATTCTATACGGTAATTCTCTTAATGAGTTCATACTTGTCATTACATTATGTTACTTATCGCGTATCCATTAAACATGAAACTCTTACATGTGTTTCGTGTTTGACGGAATACAAAGGGACTGATCTTTGAAAATGACTGATTGTTAACAGAGTTATTTCATGTGGGATTCTTTCATGGCTGGAGTGGCCATCTCAATCATGAGTAAACCCAATAACAATAATGGAGAAAATGAATTTGCTGAAATGGAATATATGAACATAACAGTAGTCACTTCTAATAAACCATATGGAGTTTCTGATGGATCCAATCCACTCATTAATGGCCTAAAAGTTCCCAAGTTTAATATTCAAAAAGACGGTGTTCATAGCGGTCATATTCAACAAGGACTCAGAGATCCTCTTTGCTTTGTCAAGAATGGCAAAGGAAAATGTCAGGTAGCTGTTTTTTTCTTTATAAGTTGCCAATTTCATTTGCCGAAAACATAAAATATGTCTCTAATTACTTCGTTAAATTTAATAACGAGATAATTAACCTAGTAATGAATGTATGTTAACATGTTATGTAATGCAACATGTTTTATAGGATGGTTATACAAAAGAGGAAAATGGTCCAGACTCAGTGAGAGTACTTGTTGCTACAAAAGCGAAGCCTAACCGAGATGTAAAGAGTTCACTTGACAGAGAATATTTCATTAACTTTTTAAATGTAAGTACAACTGTTTTTGGGTATGTTTTTCAAAGCTTTTAAATTAATCACTTACAGTATTTTAGAAGGGAAAACTTATAATTATAATGGATTTAACTTTTGATTTTTTGGTGGATCAAAGGTTCTTAATCAGCCAAAACAAGCTGGGAGATACAACTTCACTACACAGTTTCCCTACTACAAAGAAGTAACTTACAAGCCAGATTTTAGTAACATTACATTGGGAAAACCAGTTGTGTTTGACATGGACATGAGTGCAGGAGATTTTCTTGCTCTTTTTTACCTCCTTAAAGTTCCTGTTCAAGTAATCGACCTTAAGGTATTCTGATTTTTCTTTCGATAACTTGTTTTTTTACATGAAATCAAATATTTATGTCCAGGAGTTGTTAACTTTGGTTTTAGGCAATCATTGTGAGTCCTACTGGATGGGCAAATGCAGCAACAATAGACATAGTTTATGACATACTTCACATGATGGGTCGTGATGATATACCGGTTGGTCGAGGAGATGTTTTCGCAGTGAATCAGACAGATCCGGTATTCTCAGCCGTTGGAGAATGCAAGTATGTTAAAGCCATTCCTCATGGGAGTGGGGGGTATTTGGATTCCGACACTCTTTATGGTCTTGCTCGTTATCTTCCACACAGCCCAAGAAGGTGCTTTTTAGTAACTTCCATATCTTAATATTGCTCTTTAGCTAGCATTATGGTGATCATAAGTTATTCAAATGAAATTAGCAACAGAATCTGATTCTCTACTGCCACTTTACATGAGAGCGACTATAGGAACAACAGTCGCTGCAATGTTTAGTGGCCGTAAGGTCTTTTTATGTAACTTTGAAATACCGTGTTTGTATGAAAACTCCAAAATTTGTTACCAGCAAAGGAGTAATAGACTAAGAACTATTTCAGGTATACAGGAGAAAACTCAGTGAAGTTTGGAGCCCCGCGCGATACAGATCACCCTGAACTTAGACAACCACTAGCCATGGAAGTTTGGGAGTCTGTTTTGCAAACATTGAAACCAGGGACTAACGTTACAGTATTAACCAATGGACCCTTGACTAATTTGGCAAAGGTTGTTTCAGTGAAAAACATAAGCTCTAGAATTCAGGTAAGCATTAGTATGATATTTGTTATCATCCATCATTCTATCTAAATAAAGTTTTGTGTTAAGGATTTTTTTTTTCAGATGCAAAAACAGAAAAATAGTTGCTTACGAAATTCAAAACATGTTGCAGGAGGTCTATGTAATGGGTGGACACATAAGCAGTGACGAAGAAGACAAAGGAAATGTGTTTTCAGTTCTTTCAAACCAATATGCTGAATTCAACATGTACTTAGACCCTTATGCGGCCAAAACAGTGTTCGAATCAGAAGTTAACATCACACTCATTCCACTGAGTACTCAGCGCAGAGTTAGTTCGTTTGCAACGGTGAGAAATAAGTTCCGTGGCACAAGAAGAACACCAGAGGCTGTGTTTACCAAGCATCTATTGTCAAGCCTACACCGTTTGAAGAAAATCAATCACAGATATCACCATATGGTATAAGTTTCTATCCATGACCATTTTTTCTAGCTCAATCTTAGGAGAGTAACCAACTTAAAGCTTAAGTTGTTTATATATTTTCTACATTGTTTCTGTTATTTAAGCCCTTTCGTGTTTGCAGGACACATTCCTCGGAGAAATTCTAGGTGCAGTTGTCTTGGCCGATAAGGCTTCAACATTGCAGACAAAATTTGAAGTGAAGTCCATTAAAGTTTTAGCTAGTGGCAATGAATCCACAGATGGAAAAATAGTGGTGGACGAGAAAAAAGGAAAGTTAGTCAAAATATTAAGTAATGTGGAGGAAAATGCTTATTATAATTTGTATGCAAACAAGCTTGGTGATCAGTACCAGTCAGCTAAGGTGGCAAGCTTTGAAGCACAGAAGAGACAGTGGAGTCATCCTCATGATGATAAGCCTAGCAAAGAAAATGCTGCTCAACTCCATGGTTAACAATGGCTACAACCAGCACAAGACTCAGCTATATGTATTTATCAACAATAATACAATATGAATACATATTCTATTTAAACAATAATTATAAAAATGTTGAGTAATTTATGAAAATATCATATTGAATTACAACATTCATTCATACAACTCTTCGATACAGGGTAGAATCCAGAGAGCATTCGGTAAAACTTCTAGCATGCGTTACAGCTCTTCCTACAGTATCCAGGAAGGTCTGAAGATCCCACCATATACACAGGGTTGTTAGTACATTCTCCAAGAGAAGCCCATCTCACACAGCTATCGTGCTGATCGGAGCATCCCCCTCCAGTGCCTACAATCTTATCAAACGAGTCTACGTGAATCCACTTTGTCGCTGACCATTTCTCCCCTTCGAGCACTGGGCATCCAGCGTGGAGACTGTTAGTGTCCGGGGTAGCATGTGTGTCAAGACTGAAGAAAAGAAGTGCATCCCCTCGACGTGGTTTCACTATGCAATGCCGGGGAATAATAAGAGGAAAACAGCAATCATTTAGTATAAGATGACGGAAAAAAACATTACATGAAAGTATAATAACAGAGGAAAGTCATAACGGAAGTAATTTCTATCGAATTGCCCACCTGCTATTCCTTTTTTGGCACACTCAGAGAGATCACTACTTTTTTCAGAACCCTTGCGACGTCGAGGTTCCTATAAGCCGAATGTAAATTCATAAGCTATCAAAATAAGCTATTGGTAATAAAAGTCCAAACAATTTCCTCTCTGAAACCATCAAATCCACCCTTCGAATAGGAAAAAAAACCAGAGAAGAGGATACTGAGAATAAATATGAACATAAGACTATCCTCCTCTAAAACACACATCAATTTCTAGTTTACTATACCAACCTCAGCCTCTGGAAATACAGTTTCACCGCCTTTGGTCACATTAGTGAGATACATGAGAACAGTGGCGAGACGATGTCCTCCCTGAACTATATTAACTTTATCAGTAAAGTAATCGTAATGTGGGTCATATTTCTGTCCATGCTCATATCTCAGTACTTGTATGTCTTCCCCATTTTCTGAAATTCAACCATAAAAAATACAAGGAGACTGATTAGAGCCTGACAGCTTGATCATAGTAGGAATCATTTTCATATTTAATCTGATTATATCATTCAGATACACGTTCATTCTTTTCTATAATCCTGACAGCAGTTAATACAATATGATGCATGAAGATAATTTGCACAAAGAAACTAAGTATTCAGAAAATGCATCACTTATTAATGTAGGTAACTTATTTTATTTTTCTCAATTAAACTTGTCACATAATTTTATCTTTTTTTTTTCTTTCTAATTTTCACTCACTGGTTCAATATTGCTAGTATTCTCATTCCGACGACCGGCGGAACACAGTCATGATTATATGATCATTAGTATTACTAATATAATCTTCCTCTTAAAGCCAATGAAGTGTGGCAGTTACAAAAACAGCAAGTGATGAATAAAACCTCAAATTATTTCCATATTTTGAGGATAAGAAACAAACCTTCCTATATTGAGAAAGAAAAAAAATAGAAAAACTAACAAATTGGCTACACAGAAACATTGAACATCGACAAAACCGTATCTTCCATAATACAACAACAACTAAATCTTATTCTATTAACTGGGGTCGGCTACATCGATTATAATGTTCTATCATGAACCATGCTTATATCCAAATCATTAATTTCAAGATTTTTTTTAATAACTTAGCTTATAGTTTTTCTAACTCTTCCTCTAGCTCTATCGATTGACTCCTCTCCACCTAATCTAGTCTCATTATCACAAAATCTACATATCTTCTCTCTACATATCCAAATCACCTAAGTCTATTTTCCACCATCTTTTCTACATGTGCTACCCCGTTGTTCTCTTTAATATTGTCATTTCTAATGTTATCATATTTAGTCTTACCTCACATCCAACACAACATTCTCATCTCTGCTACACTCATTTTATTCTCATGTTGATTCTTAACCAGTCCAACACAGTCACATGGTTCACAATTGTTTCGGTACGTGGTACGAATTCAGGCACACGGTTTGCAACTCTCTAAGAATTAGGTACGCAAGGGGTATACATAGTCGGTACGATATTTAGGTTTGTGGTACGTTCAAATATAATAATCGGTACGTTATTATTAAAAAATTGTTTACTTATAATGAAAATTGGTTGGGAAAAAGACTTAGTGCCACATCGACTACTTTATTAACATTGCTTTGAAAAATTAGTTATAAATAGCTAGTATATACTCACCACTCTTATAGCTTACAATAGTTAATTGGTAATGGTCATTAATATTCACTTTTATCAAAATGATACAGACATTATTAATATTCACTTTCTAGTTTTCACTCAATGGTTCAATATTGCTAGTATTCTCATTCCAACGACCGGCGGAACATAGTCATGATTATATGATCATTACTATAGAGAAACCTACATTTCATTTTTATCTTCCTTCTATTAATATAATCTTCCTCTTAAAGCCAATGAAGGGTGGCAGTTACAAAAAGAGCAAGTGATGAATAAAACCTCAATCCATTTCCATATTTTGAGGATAAGAAACAAACCTTCCTATATTGAGAAAAAAATTGGCTACATTGAACATCGACAAAACCGTATCTTCCATAATACAACAACAACTAAATCTTATTCTATTATCTGGGGTCGGCTACATCGAAGTTCCGTTATAATGTTCTATCATGAACCATGTTTATATCCAAATCATTAATTTCAAGATTTTTTTTAATAACTTAGCTTATAGTTTTTCTAGGTCTTCCTCTAGCTCTATTGATTGACTCTTCTCCACCTAATCTAGTCACATTATCACAAAATCTTCATATCTTCTCTCTACATATCCAAAAGTCTATTTTCCACCATTTCTTCTATATGTGTTACCTCATTGTTCTCTTTAATATTGTCATTTCTAATGTTATCATATCTAGGCTTACTTCACATCTAACGCAACAACCTCATCTTTGTTACACTCACTTTATTCTCATGTTGATTCTTAATCAGTCCAACATTTTATCTCGTACAACATCTAGGTGTTATCGCAGCCCAATAAAATTTTCCCTTCAGCTTGAGTAATACTTTTGTGTCACATAAAACCTCCCTCCATTTCAACCACTCAGCTAAAATTTGATGGTTTCCATTCGACCTCATATTTTTTAAAATAAAAATAGTAAGAATATATTGAACATGATGGAGAGTACCTTTAGGAAGAAAGGTCCAAGCAGAAATCTTATCCTCAATACCAGAAATAATAGGATCCTATAAATAAAATAAAAAATAAAAAACAAAAAAAGTAAAGAAAAAATACTTATAAATGAAAAAAAAAAGAATGAAATAAATATAGGAAGAAAAAGAAACCTTGTTTTTGGAAATGAACATGCCAGAGCTTGTTCGAACATCACTTAACTGACTATCTCCGGAAAGATTATCCGCAACAGCAGATCTCTTGAGCTCCGATTTCGCCTAAAAAACAAAAAACTCTAAATTATTGGACAATTAAGAGTTATGGATTTTGCATATAAGTTCAATTCAATACTCACTAAAGAAATCAAGTGATCGCACTCCAAGTCTGTGAGAAAATCTTGATAAACAAAAGCTCTGCAAAACATGTGAGAAAGTTAGTTGGAAGAAATGGAGAATTTTAATTGAAGCGAAGAAAGAAAGAAACCTTGGATTCCATGAAATCTGTTTGACTTTAGAAGGATTGATGATGGAACTAGCTGAACCAGCGTAGGAGCTTTGAACTTGAGCTGTTTGAGAGATTAGCAACAAGAAGAGCGAAAACCAAATGACCCTACTCATTTCAGATTTAGATTCCCACTTCAATTTTCTCAGGAATTTGTCTGTTCGGCCAGGAACTTGACTTTAATTGAAGTTCTTTTTTTTTCTCTCTCACTTATCTATTGTTTTTATTTTACACCCATAATTATAATAATAGAAAAGAAAAAAACAGTTACAGGATTTATTATTTTTAATACTATATTTAGCGTGCAAGTTCAAAACCACAAAAATGGTAATTATTTGTTCGATATGATAATCAAAATAAATGCACGAAGACTTTTGCAAAAATAACAAACGATTCAGATATATAATACTGAATGATTTTATCATCTTTTTTATATTTTCCGTATTTAAATTTGAATTAGTTAAATACTTATTATCTACCCCAGATCTATATAAGGCTAAACGAGGATAAATAACTGAATTCAAAACCTTTTTCAATCTAGCTTAGAGCATCTTTAGTGGGAGTAAAGTAAATGGGTAAACTAAGATACTTTTTGTGGGCCCAAAGTGATTTGTAGGATTTAAAAAATTTATAGTTGATTTGAGTAGTTTTTACTTTAATGGTGGTGGTCTATAAGAAACCAAAACTTAACCCCACATTTTATATTTTTAATTCAAGTTACCATTAATTTAATTATTTTAATTAAAATACATATAATTTTTTAAATAAAATTTACCTTAAAAACTTAAAAATAATATTAAATATATTTTATTATAAAATTAAAAATGATACAAAATTCACAACAATAATACATAAAAAAAATTGCATTTTCATAGGAATATAATTATAATAAGGATTCAATTGGTTGAGATCCATTTGATAAATAAATAAGATTGGAAATTGAAAGAAAAAAATTTAGAAGTAAAACTGTGTAAAAAAAATTAAAATTTCTATAGAATTTATACAAGATAAAAAATGATAATATGACCGTTACTATTTTCAAATATCATACCCTTACTTTATTGCTGTTGGAATATTTGAAATATTTTATTAATATTAAATAATATTATAATGGATTTCACATGAATAGTTAACGTTAACTATATAGATAATGGAAACTAAATTTTAGTTCATTTAAATGTCATGTCAGCTCTCCTATAATGCAAATTTCTTATTATTAATGTAAGTTATAAAGAATTTTGGTTTAACAACTCTGCGTTAAAGTTGCTCTTAGGTGTATCACTTCCTTTTCCTTATCCTTTTCCCGCATCTAAATTAATTTTTAGATTTAAATTTATTTTTAACTTTTCTATTAAAATTTTTTCAATGTTTTTGTGTCCCTTTTAAAATGGAAGAACCAACTTTAAAACCCGAAAAGAAATTAAGGTTAAAAGCATGTTAAATCAACCAGCTTAGACTTCCAATCATAAATAGAAAGAGAAAACGAGTTGGAGAGTCTCCTTATTTCAACTCTCTTTAAATCTTGATTTTAGAAATATAAAAGTGGTTAACTAGCACAACCAAATTGTCAGAGAAGACACAAAATTTGATCTAAGATTTTCACGAGCATATAGTCAAGAAAGCTTCTTTTAAGCCTAACCAAGCCAAACTCGAGATAGTTATAATGACAAGGTCCTAAGCGCCATAGAACCATATGTATGGTTTCAAAAACCCAAACACCTTGAAAACTGCATATCTAGGCAGATCTAAGAAGAACTAAAGATCAAAGGCGAGAAATCACCATAAACACTGGTTGATCGTGATTCTTCATTAATATTGCGCTATATAGCTGAATGATTCACAAATCACGTCACAATCTTCTTTAATTGCAATGTGATGTAACCATAATGTCGCTCCTTCATTTTAATTTGAGATCACGCCACAATCTCTTTATCATGGGACGATTTGACGATGTCCATTTTTTCTTCTTTTCTCCAAGCTTTTGTGAATTGTTCCTCGGTCTGTTTTTCGTCAGTGTAATGTTGGTAACACCCTAAGTCCTAACATGTAATTCATAAAGTAATCAGAGTATTTTCTCAAAAAAGGTGTGACATTTTTTCTCAATTAAACATCTTTATCAAAATTACACTTAATAGCAGTGAAAATTAAATAATTAAAAAAAAACACAACTCAATTGCCTCATCAAAATAGAAATAATTTTTATTCAATGAAATATTAGTTTAGATAACATAACAACTCATAGAATAAAACAAGTAAATGATTTCAACCCAAGTGTTAAACTATCAGAGCGACGCAAGGTAACTATATGATGCAAAAACACAATAAGCGAAGAAGGCCACTAGTTATCTTGCACACAAGCAGCATTTAAGGCTCCTTAGTCTGAGTATTTGTACCACAAGGGTAAAGAACAACACATAAACAAATAGGGGATGAGAATACATTCATAAATATTAATGATGTATAAAATAGCGAGGATATCTTAAACATATTATTCATCAATAACATAGATTCATTCACAACAATAATCAATCACAAGTGCAGTTATGTAAGCAATGCAAACAACACCTTTACTCCAATGCATGTGGTACCAGATTTTAGATATCACAGTTATGTTACTGATTTATCCACCCACCGATGATTCCTCTTTGAACCAAAACTCATCTCAGATCCCCACTTCAACTTGGAACTTTTCATTAGACCGATGTCCCAAACTCATCATTGGTCCCCACTTTTGAACTAGAAACTCGACTCTGGACTGAAGTCCGTACACCTATCTCCGACATACATGATACATGAAATGCAACAAATAATAGCAATGCAAAAATTATCACTAGTTCCCCACACCATCGCCAATATAAGGCCACCACAATAGTTCCTCTATAAACTACACATCTCAACACAAGGCCACCATAGTAGCTTTTTTTTTTAAACTGCGTATCTTAACATAATTCATCATGAACTTTATAATTATAACTCAACAATACTCGTGAAAAGCTAACAATAGCACTACACAACCTTAAGCATCCAACATGATCAAATCATAACTCAACAGAGTTCACAACTATCTCTTCCACTTTTTATTTAAGGATTACGAGTCACAAGGCATACTCTAACTTTAACTCAACTACTCATCAACTCGACTCTGAACATGACGGATAACTAAAAAACTCAACTCTCTGGACACATACAACACTCCAAACACATCAACGTAACTCAATAACTTACTCATAACTCTAAACATATTAAGTGACTTGGTACTCAACCTCTTTTATTCAACTCGACTCTAAAAATATCAAATACCTGAAACTCAACTATAAGAATGTCACTCCAAACTCAACTCTAAACATTTCAGGCTTAACTATAAATATCAAATACCTCAAACTCAACTCTAAGAATGTCAAAGACTCTAAACTCAATTCTAAACATTTTAGGCTTAACTTTAAAAATATCAAATAACTCAAACTCAACTCTAAGAATGTCAAATAACGCAAACTCGACTCTAAACATACCAAACTACTCAAATTAAAGTTATTTATAAAATATATTCAAATCCTTAAATTGCTAAAAGGTTTCCTAAAACTTTGGACTTAACTTTAAAATTATCTCGCTTCACAATAGCACCAAATATTATAAAATCATGATAAATTATGAAACTCTCTAGTTTAAAAGTTCTTTAATCTCTCTTTAAAATACAATTGATTGCATCTCGATCGGAGTTATGAAACTCATGTTCTATTCGTTTCAGTTCAGCCATATCATATTATTTTCTGCATAAACTCTAAAACAGAATGTCTGACTTCAAAATCACACCAAAAATTATAGAATTATGATAAAATTATGAAATTCTCAAATTTAAAAGATCCTTAAACTCTTTTTCTAACGCAATTGGTCATACCTCAAACGGACTTACGAAACTCAAGTTACAAATGAAACAAGTTAACCAACGCAAGACTAAAATTTGACTACGCCTCTGATATAAAAACCCGAGAAATGCTCCTGTTGTAATGCTCCTAGACCCAATTCCCCACTTCAAAAGAAATATTATTGTGTTAGATTTCTAACGCAATTGATGACACCTCAAACAGACTTATGTAACTCAAGTTACGCATGAAACAAGACGATCAATCCCCTCTTATGTCTACCTATGATTGATTTTATGTATTTTTCTCTCTATTGAACATATCCAAAACTCGTCTATTTCTCCTATTTGAGTTCTCACCACCCCAAAAACTTACATATAAATATAATGATTGAAAGGGCACAAATATTAAGATTAACAACAACAACAAAATTAATTCAATTCTCGCCTTATCATAAAATCTCAACAAAAATCTCAATTCAACTTTCGCCTTATTGTAAGGCAACAATATAATTTATCAATTTAACTCTCTCCTTATTATAAGCCATAACCATTGTTCATTCAATCAATCTCGCCTGATTCACTTATCTAAGTATAATCGCCTCAATATGCACATGTTAACCATGGATAATACAAATAAAAATCACAGATTCATACTCTCGCCTTATCAAGAATCATAAACACAAATTATCAAATCAAAGTCAACAATTCATCAAATACAAAAAAAAACATTATCATAACGACAACCTTCGAAGGTTTTACCTTCTTTGGCTACAAAAATAATCACAGATAAAAAGAAAGAAAATAATGCAGAAGGGTAAAAAACTCTCACTATCCATCCGCTTAAACATTCATACATGAATAACTTCTCCCCTTACCTCAAATTTGCAACAATGATGAAGGTTTGACTATGGGATTTCCTCTCTATTCCTTTCAAAATTTTCTTCTAAATTTATCTCTATTGTGCCTCTTTTCCGCCTAAAACACGTACTAACTCAAATATCTCTCAACTCCTCTATTTAAATAAAAACGTAATTTTATTTTAATATTTCTCTTTATTCCCCTTATTTCTCACCCGTCTCACCTCCCTCCTTAATTTTCATCCATATCTTTATTTTCTTCTCCAAAATTAATTATCTCATTATTTCTATTATTTAAATATTAATTAAAATTCTAATAATTTTACCAACATTCCAATAGTTCTTAAAAATATTAATTAGGTCAAATAAAACACTCCAATACTCAAATAAAACAAAA